CCAGCGGTCCCCCATTCCCTAGACTTCCTCCCTAACACATATGCCACAGGCAAGGCTGGTGCTAGGCTATTTTGCACCCTAGGCAAGACCAACTACTTGCACCCCCCCCCAAAAAAAAATAGAACAATTTTTAAAAACAGTATAAAATAACAATATTAACCAAAACAAAAATAATTAACCAAATATAAATTATCTGTTTTTTTCTAGTGGTAGCGCCAGCCATGGTTGTACCATCTTTGCTTTACTTATCACACTTTACTTATTACACTATACAGTAATTCCAATCCAGCTCTGTATACATTCATTTTCTAAGGTTCATTCTGTTTGATGAATATAATAGAGTGATAAATAAAACAGGGTTTATTAAAATAATTTCAGACACCACAAAGCACTCTGACATTCTGACACACGGGTTGCATTCTCTGTTCTCATTTATCAAGAGAAACATCTGAAGTTATACTTTTTGTTTTGTTTTTCATTGGTCTCTTTCTGGTTTCAATGTGTCAACTGCTGGACATAGGCTGATGTTTGCACTATAATACATTTAACCTTTTAAACTTTTAAAGGGGAAAATTTGTACATATAATTTAAATAATTTTTTGTTTACTTACATTCAAGCAAAAAAATAATAGCAATAAATAGGAAATTTCTACATTTCATTATGAAAATGTATCTTGATTTTCTTGATTTTCATAAGCCCTCTGTCTTGACCTCTGCCACCCTGTTGGGGCCCAGGCAAGGGATGTGGATAAGGGGCCACTGAGCATTGCTGCAGGGCCAGATGCTGGTACACTTGAAGCCAGGGGTGCTCTGCATCACATAGCGCTCCCTAATCCATAGGTGGACCTCGCTTGTGGCGGTGATCATCTTCACCACATCCCTGCAGCTGCACTTGTCCACAGTCTGGGCCACCAAAGTCTGGCAGTGGGAGCAGATCTTCCTGACCGAGAGGTAGCCAGGGGCCATGGCGAACTCTGACGACAGGGACATGCTCCTCTTCTGACCATCGCTCAGCCTGAGCACCACGCAGCCCAGCACGGAGCTGTCATCCATGAAGTTGAAGACCCCATCTGGTTAAGGTAGAGCACCACCTAGAACTTGGTGAGGGAGACCACCTCCAAGCCCTTGTAGTGGATGTCAATCTCGATCAGGGAGCTGATGAAGTGGGAATGTTAGGTACCCAACGGAGCGCAGGGAAAACAGCAGCAGTGACTATGCTCTAGGCAGCTGCCTAGTTCACCTAGCGGTAGCGCCGGCCCTGGCTACAGAACAGGAAGGCTAAGTCCAGAAATCCTGGGAAAAGTGCAAACTACAATAATGTATTGTAGCCACTGATTAACAGAGGCTAGAGTTATAAAACAATATTATGTAAAATCATGGGTCAATGTTCATAACTTTAGACCTGTCAGGATCTAAGAATAAAGTAATACAATTTATTATCTTTGTGTTTAATTTATAAATGTGCCCACACAGACAAAAGATGACTTATTTTTGATCTGGCCCATTATGGTTGGATCAGAAAATTATTGTATATCTATAAACACACACTGATCTCTTTAGATGGGCTAGCTTTCTTAGAAAAAAAAATTAGTTGACCAGATCACATTTTACCTGACATTTTGGGGTTGATTTACTAAAACTAGAGAATGCAAAATCTGGTGCAGCTCTGCATAAAAACCAATCAGCTCCCAGGTTTGGTAAAGCATAATTGAACAAGCTGAAAGGATAATTTCACCTTTTAACAAAAAATAATAAATGAACATTTTTTTGCAGGTAAAAAATGTACATTTATTATTTTTTGTTTGTGGAGCCCCTAAAGAATTGCACCAGTGATCAGCAAATCACTGGTGCCATGCAGATCTCCTCCTGACCTGCCAGTTTATCTGCTTGCTCGTATATTCCACGGAGCCCCATTGTAGTTCATTAAAAACTACAAGCTGACAGCCGTAAATGCTGTCAGATCTTGTCATTTTCCCATTCACAGAATACTGTGAATGAGTGATGCAGCCGGGTGGGCGAAGCCCTGCATGGCCAGTTTTTAAAATAAATTGGGACAGCTAGCGTGGAGGAGAAGATCCCTCACTAGCTGTCACAACGGGGATCTGGGGGATGCGGGGGCCGGTCCGATAATAACATGTTACATGTTACACCCTGAATATGAGTGGAACGTTACAAAAGGTGAACTTATCCTTGAAGTTAGAAGCTGACTGGCTACCATATACAGCTGCACCAGATTTTGCACTCTCCAGTTTTAGTAAACCAACTTCTAAGGGTCCATGCAAAGTGGCTTAAAAAAAAAAAAAAACGCTGCTTCTAGAGGAATTTAACGTTTTGCCTTTTGAAGCGCTAATGTTATCCTATGTGTCCATGCACATTAGGATGTTTAGAAGCATATTTTAAGCTCAGTGGTCAGTGGCAGAAAAAACCCTTCTGTCTTGCGTTTTTGAGAGTAGTTTTTTGGCAGAAAAAAAACACTAAATGATCCTAAACACTTGTAAAAAAAAATTTCTTTTTCTCTGCCAAAAGAACTGGCATTTTTTTAAGCCCAATGTGCATTGACCCTAAATATTAAAATATGATCCGATGTCCATAGGGGAGCATACATTAGCCCTAAGTGAGCTTTTTTGGGGAACAAAAATTATGCTACAAAATCCTGTCTGATTGTAATGTTTTTCTCGAGTATTGTATGTGCGCTTTTCACAATCCTGCCCCCCCAACTTTCCATTGTACTAATTGGGGGTGCTTCTGTGACAACATCATGACCGTATGTATGAAAAAGACATCATGAGTTTCTAGCATGTATTGCCAGCTTTACAGTGCTATCTCTTCTTCCCATCTTCCATCCAATCTGAAATGTGCATGCTTGCAGTGAGATCTTTTGTTAGAAAGATCTTGTAGTGTTCAAACTGTACTTACATGTTCAACCGCAATTGAACATCTGCCAAAAATGCACCCAGCCCCTTATTTCTTGTTGTGAGCTATAAAAAGTGCTTTCATAGGTAGTATTCAAGAAACAAAAATCGGACAAATAAAAGGAGTTTTTTGTCAGGTTTTACATATTTTTTAAAATAAGTGTTGGGTCAATTTATATTAAAGCAGATCGTCAGTTTCCAGTTTACCACTTGCAGCCTGCACATGATATGGCCACTCCTGTCCCCCATCTTTTATGCATGACAATTTCAAGTAGTCTATTCAACAATCCTCTAAACATCTCACTCGGCCATGGCTCAAATGTAACTGTGGCAGCAACTCTACACCCAGCAATGCCCAATGCAATTATTGACATCTCTTTCTCTCTCCTAGTTTGCACTTAAATGTGTTTGGCTGTTGCAATGGCGGTATGCATATTTATTTTCCCCTGCTGGCTACTGCCCTGGCAGTCCATTCTGCAGTGTCTCCTGGGACATTCCCAGGAATATGGGTAGTCCATGTGTGGGTGCTCACCTTAGTGATGCCAAGGCCTTGAGAGTTGCTTCTCCCTGCCAATACAGAGAAAACAGCATGGAGATGAAGATAATTGAAGTGTACCATGCCCGCAACTTTTAGACTTGGTTAAAATATATTGTACTATTATTATTTTTTTAATTGATACTATTTATTATTGTTGTTAATATTATTATTACGCCTGGATTGACCATGGGTGGGGGGTACAGTGGAAACTCATTGAGATGATGACTGGAGTTCTGCTTTTAGGTTTATATGGTTTTAAACTGATGCTTTGTATCTGTTTTTAATAAATATATATATATATATATATATATATATATATATATGATCTTTGCTTTAAAACATTTAATACATGGCTACAGATACCAGAGCACTACCAGATAGCTAATGTGCAACACTTTCAGGCACACTGGCTCTAACTGAACTGTCTACTAAGGAGTGCATCGCAGAAATGACTCTGTGTGTTTGTAAATTTCACCTTGATTTCTGTCCACAACTTGTTGGCAGGTGCAGTCTATCTTCTACACTGTAGGTGGAGCTCATCTGCATTCTCAGTGCAGGTGGAGGAGAAAGCCAAAAGAAACCTGGTTCCTTTTATGGTTTCCTCAGTCACAAGGAAACAGCCATCCGATTGGATGCTGATACCCCAGGTGACTTTGGTGGCCATCTTGGTCAGGCAGCGTCTATTTAAGACCCTGGCTCCCAAATTTGGCGCACATTTTTGTGAGTGGCAGTATAGGGACAGTAGACCAGTCTGTCAGAAACAGTGCTTAGCTTCTGGGAAAGGTTCCAGAGGAGTAGGGAAAGTGCAGGGACATGCCACCCTTCCTGGGAACCTCCCCATTTAGACAGGCTGCATTCCATCCCTTGAAACAGATGCTGTCAGCACCCCTGAGTCATCAGACTACTGTTTTACCGCAGCCAAGACCTGTTGGGTTACCCTTCTGTTGGACCTGTTATGTGTTACTGAACTTCTGTTACAGTATATTTCAGTTACCTACTCATTATCATACCTACACTACTACTACTACTACTACTACTAATCTTACTCGTTCATTTCAGAACACTGGCACCTTCCTCTCTCGGAATTGACTCATTTGGCTGAAATGGCCAATTTCATACATAATCTCCTTTCTAATATAATGACTTGTCCAACTCTTTTAACACCCTTTGAGAAAATTTGTAAGTCGTCTTCTCACTCCCCTGGCCTTATTTCTCTTTTATACAGTTTACAAATCTTATTTGATTCCTTTAATAACCCTAACTACAATCTTGACTGGGAACATGACCTAGGGGAATCTCTCTAGACATTAGTGAATGGAATCAAATCTGGTCAACCATGTCTGCCTGTCCCATTAAAGTGTTACTAAACTACAACAGTAAAATCTGTCTGTATATGCAGTAAAACATGCTTGTTATACTAACTGTCGAATTTAAGGGATTAATCCTCCGCATTGTGTAAAAAGGATGTTTGATCCTTTCTTCTCTGATCCTCCCCTTCCAGTTTCTCCCAAATATCTCCTGATAGAACAGAGGCTAGGGAGAAGCTGCAAATGCTCAGTTTGGTGTGTATTTAGAGTTTTATTTTTTTCTTGGAGAGTGCATGTGATCAGCACAGGGCCAATCAGCACTCTCCAGACAGAGGTCCTGCATCCTGCTACAGGAGAATGAAAACTCCTTCTACAAGCTGTAACCAGTGCTTTGCTGGACACTGATAGAAGTCACAAGACTGCTCTAACTGCTGATGAGGAAAGATATTTAGTAGTTTATATACAGTACAGTTCCAAGATTTGAGTGAAACTGATAGTGGCTAATAATGCTCTGCACCACCACCTTTTGGACACATTTATCACTAAGGCACTGTGGACAACACCATGGCTTAGTGGTTAGCACGGGGGTCCTTGGTTCAAATCCTGGTCAGGACACTCTCTGTCTTGAGTCTACATGTTCTCCAGGGCCAATCAGCACTCTCAGACAGAGGTCCTGCATCCTACTACAGGAGAATGAAAACTCCTTCTACAAGCTGTAACCAGTGCTTTGCTGAACACTGATAGAAGTCACAAGACTGCTCTAACTGCTGATGAGGAAAGGTATTTAGCAGTTTATACTTACTAAAATAGTTGCATTTCCATGTTCTGTGTATTGTGGTAGACCAGATAGAGTGAATACAGGGTTCTGGGTTTAGTAACACTTTAATGCACTTGCAGAAGAAAATGCACACAAAATACTTCTTCATTGGTATATGACTCCTTTGAGACTGTCTCGTTTCTCTCCCTCAAACCCCCCCCCCCCCCCCGTGCTTTAGAGGATGCAATACTAGAGGTACATTATTCCATATTTGGTGGGAATACCCAATTGTCCATAGTTACTTATGAATCCCTGGGAAGCCCTATTATACAGACCAATTCTAGGTTTTAGGAAATCGGAAAGAATATTTATCTCTTTCATTTTTCTAACTACACAACTAACTATTGCTAAAGCCTGAAGACATCCATCCCTGGACCCTGAACTTTGGAGAAATAAAACAAAGAATCATGGGATCCATGATTCACGAGGAGTTGACCTCTATCCTACTTGATAACCATTCAAACATTTTAAAAATATGGTCCCCATGGTTCAATTTCATGTCTACATTTGACATTGAAAATTCTTTACTGTTTCTCTAATTTTTGTACTCTGCACCTACTCACACACTAGCTTTTTTCCAAGATGGGTATAGACAAATACAGTGACGACCCTAAGGCTCCATGCACACTGGCCTAACAATGGCTGCTTCTACAGGTTTTTTGTGTTTTGCTTGTAGCAGCAGCTCAATGTTATCCTCTGTGTCCATGCACATTAGGACAAATAAAGGCATATTTTAAGCTCAGCGTTTAGAGGCAGAGAAAAACCCTTTCTGCTTTGTGTTTTTGATTGAAGCTTTCTGGCAGAAAAAAACACTAAACTGTTCTAAAATCGCCTAAACTGTGTGCAAAACGCTCTATATCAGCATTTTTTTTCTGCCAAGAGAACTGGCGTTTTATTTTTTTAAGCCTAGTGTGCATGGAGCCAAAAGCTCCACCTCTGAAAAAGAGTGCAACATTTTAACAATACATGTTCCTGATTCAAAGGGGATTAAACTAAAACAAAAATGTTTTTTAAATTGTTATTTATTTTAGTTCTGATCATAATAAAGATAGAATACATACTGTATATAAAACTACTACATGTTTTCTTTTTAACATCCTTTCTTTGTAGAATAATGCCTTTGGTTCTAATACTTTCCCGATCTGTTCTGTTTTTCAGCATGGCAAAATCATTCAGGAAGAATTTTATTAACCCTTCTTCCTATACGGGAAACACTGCAAAACTGCTGTGCAGCTGGGATTTCAGCATAAATAATGAGAAAGCTGTAAAATTAAAGAAAACACATCTCAGTACACAAATAAAGGTAGAGTATTAAATAAAACACATTTCCTGGTACCTATTGACTTAATGGGTGTCAATTGTAGAATTTCCTATGAAGTTTGGCATACTATATTGTGTCTCTTGTTTCCTGCATTATCTAGAAAAACTGGTTTCTACCAAGCAAACAAGCTAGTGATTTATGGTAACAAGGCTGACTCTATGGTATTGTCCTGTATGTAAACTTTGGAACTGATATGAGATGTACAGTTCCAAGATTTGAGTGAAACTGATACTGACTAATAATGCTCTGCACCACCACCATTTGGACACATTGACCACTAAGCCACTGTGGACAACACCATGGCTTAGTGGTTAGCACTGGGGTCCTTGGTTCAAATCCTGGTCAGGACACTCTCTGCCTGGAGTCTACGTGTTCTCCATGTGTTTTGCATGGGTTTTTTCTAAGAACTCTGGTTTTCTACCACATTGTAAAGACATGCTGGTTGGTTAACTGGCTTCTGTCTAAATTGGCCCTACTATGTGTGTTTGCATGTGAGATAGGGACCTTATTGTAAGCTCACCAAGGGCAGGGACTAGTGTAAATGTAAAGTGTCTAAAGTGCTATGTAATTGTTGGCACTATATAAATACTTGTAATAAATACATATAAATAATATAAAATGGACTAGTAAAAAATCGATTTTGTTAATAGTATTGCTTTCCTGCATTATTTCCATTGTATCCATTCTGCCCAATGGAAAATTTTGGTTTCCGTTACTGACAACCAAAAACTATATACAAGGATGTATCTACAGAATGCAGCTTTGTCTACAGAACTCTAGGCTTTACGCCAAACACTATCTACAAAGGAAATGGTATTTGGTGCCCATAATATTCTGATTGAACAATAAATATTCTTTATAGATACGTTTTTCGGCCCTTAACAATTGTACAGTTATCCAGAGAGACTGCCATAATCACTTAAAGTGGAATTACACTGAATCTGAACACCGCAAGCCAAAAACTCTATTTCATTAATTTTTAATATTCAAAGAAAACTCATCCATCCATTCATGTCTCCATGCTTTATTTTTTTTTCCAAGAAATCACTTTGAAAGACACCCCCCCTCTAGCATTTCTGGCCGTGGCCATTTTGAGTAAGGGTAAATGATTAATGTAGCATTTATTTCCTGGAATCCATGTGCCCCTATTTCAGGCATGCATGTGTGCATGCAGGCGGGAGTGCTTAATTGACACCCCCCTCTAGCATTTCTGGCCGTGGCCATCTTGAGTAAGAGTAAATGATTAATGGAGCATTTACTTTCTGGAATCCATCTGCCCTTAGTTCAAACATGCATGCGTGCATGCAGGAGGGTGTGTTTAATTTAAAAAAAACCCTCTACCTCTACTCCACTCCTGATGACTCCTGGGTTGTATGACATAATTTGCCTAGGCCAGTAAACCAGGAAGTAACTGAAAAAATTATTTTAAAAAAAGAGTAAATATGATATTACTTTCCTATGTATTAATTATTGCTAGCAGCATAAGAATTAAAAATAGTCAATGCTGACTGAGAGAATAAAGTTCCGCTTTAATGTATTAATCAGAAGGCAAAAACAGTGACAGAACCAGATAGGTTGGCAAATTTCTTATCTAGGTAGGATACAATTACATTTTTTTTAACCTTCAATATAAATGAAGTCTGAATAAACGTAATAGATAAATATGTGAACTGAAAATAAGGGGACATCATTTAGTGCAATATTTTTTAATACATGGTCGAATTACTCTCCTGCAATTGCTTAGAAGAAAATCATAATTTTTTTTCTACTTTTGCACAGTGATTGACAAAACTCAAACAATTAAGCTCATTGACTGTAATAAAAATTGACTGACTGATATTTATTGTATGATTACTAGCAATGCTGACCACAGTAATTGTTTGAAACCAGAATTCACTACTTTTTAAATGCCCCACTTTTTAAATATCTCAGTTTGTGCACATGTGTGGACATAATATAAGAGATAGGAGAGACTTTAGACGTGTTACAGGAGATGGTCAGAGACTGTGGACATAACAAGAGAGATGGTCAGAGACTGTGGACATAACACAGGATATGGTCAGAGACTGGACAAAACAAGAGAAATGGTCAGAGACTGTGGGACTTGTTACAGGAGATGGTCAAAGTCTGTGAACATAACAAAAGATAGTCAGAGATTCCGGATATGACACAAGAGATGGTCAGATTGCAGACATCATACAAGACATGACCGGAGGCTGTGAACATGATATAGGAGGAGTTGGAGACTAGGGTCATGCTTCAGGAGACATATTACGTGAGACTACTAGAAATCACTGCTACAAACAGGGCAATAGGGACACACAGATTAAAGTCTGCAGGAACCATGAGGGCTGCACAAAGAGTGCCAAAGGGCCACAGGTTACACACTGGGGCTTTAGGCCTTTAACTGTGCTTTTTTTTTAACTGTGCACCTAACAAGATATGCAAATGTGCAGGAAATTCAATGTGTATATTGATTTGTTTTATTTAAAATTATTTACAGAATTACCTTTTCTATCAAATTGAAAACAGATGCTTTCTTTCAGTATCAATAAATATAAAAGGGAAACTGCTGGCAAAATAAAGTCTGTGGTGGTTTTAATCTGCTTTTATCCACACACTTGCTTATAGGCAAATTTCTGCACTAACTCAAATATTATATTTTTTATATTGTAGGAAACCCTCTCAGAAAAGTTGTTGCAGAAATTAAAACTTTCAATTAGTCAGAGGCTGGGTCGGCTTGCCATTCACCTGGTTTTTTGGATCGTATCTCTAGGGCTGGCAGTTGGCTGTTGTGCTGGAGTATACTTCCTCTGTGTACTTGTTGGATTATCTGCACAGGTAATCTTTGTTATCTTATTTTTAAACCTTTTTTTTTGAAGTGGATAACTATAGCAAAATCTGGACCTACAAGATGTTAGGAACATGCCCAGCAGATTTCTGCATATGAGTGTCATCTTTTTTTAAGAACATCAATCTTTTTGCTGTGATGGTATGAGAAGAACTAAACATAATACAGTTTTCCTTTAGGTTTCGTTCACATGGGTGTACTACAGTGTACACCTATGTGATGGCCATGTTTGCCTGCATGGGAATGCACAGGTGTTCCGTGCATCCTCGTGTAGGCAATTTCATGTCAGTTGGACGCAGTGGCTGCATGGACACAGCTGCTCCTTCTAATATGAAAGCCATGTGGGTGTACGGCCCCAAACACAGGCAGTGTGTCCTAATTGACATAAATGGAACTGCCTGTATGGGGATGCAAAGAACAACTGTAAATCCTTATGCTGACAGACTCGGCCCTTGCGAGGGCATATGCCGTAGTGCACTTATGTGAACGAGGCCTTATAGAATGTTTCCCATTTGGTGTGTTTTAGGTGCATTGCACTTTAGACATGGTTTATGTGTGTGTCTGTGCAGCCCCTGTGTCCTTATTGACATGAATGGAACTGCCTGCATGGGGATGCACGGAAAACCTGTACATCCTCATGCGAGCAAACATGGACCTGGCATGGGCATATGCTATAGTGCACCCATGTGAACAAGGGCCTTATGGGATGTTCCCATTTGGTGTGTTTTAGGTGCATTGCACTTTGGACATAGTTTATGTGTGTTTTTAGGTGCATTACCACTGAAGTATAAATGCATACATTTTCATGGAAGCACATCAATCAGCAAGCAGGTCTTTTTTTTTAACACGCTGCACCTAAAATGCACATAAAACACATAGA